CTTGGAGGTGTCTATGGACAACACCAGCTCTTTGGCCTAGAAATTGAGCACCAACCCCCAGACTTGGACACGACTGGACTTAATGTCAGGGGAAAACTTTTACCTTACCTTACCCAATATGCCAAATTTCAATACTGGTGGGGTTGGAGGGAGAATTGATTTTGTCATTTGGGAGTTGTAGTTACTGGGATTTATAGTTCACCTACAATCAAAGAGCATTCTGAACCCCACCAATGGAATTGAACCAAACTTGGCATATAGTTCTCCCCTGCACCAATGATGGAATTGAACCAGACTTGGCACACAGAACTCCCATGACCAACAGAAAATATTGGAAGGGTTTGGTGGGCATTGACCTTGAGTTTTGTGAGTTGTAGTTCACCGACATCCAGAGAGCACTGTGGACTCAAACAATGATGGATCTGGACCAAACTTGGCACAAATACTCAATATGCCCAAATGTTAACACTGGCGGAATTTGGGGAAAATAGATCTTGGCATTTGGAAGTTGTAGTTGCTGGGGCTTATAGTTCACCAACAATCAGAACACTCCGAACACCAATGATAGAATGCCAAATTTGCTTACCTATCAATCCTCACAATCCACTGGCGTATTTGGCATGCGGAACACTTCCCCACGCTAAATGAGCACTGTGGATCATCGCCCATAACCAAGGATCAAGAAGGATACTAGAGTGATCAATTTTGATGAACTTCTCAGGAATTAGCGGGCAGATGCAGATTCATGAACCTACAATCTAAAGAGCACTGTTGAACAGCCAACTGACTATGGCAAAGGTGATTTCTTGCAGTATCCCCACCTACGAGTATATTATATGCTTTGTTCTTCTTCTAATGTCTTTGGCGACCCGCTTACTGAGACAATTGTTCAAGGATGATGTTGTCCTGAAATACATGTTTCCAAGAGAATTCCAATCTTGAACATAGTTTTCATTCCTGACAGCTCAAGAGCGAGTTGACATGATAGATTAGTTTATAGTAGGGCCATCTGGGCCAAGCTTTCACTTTGAAGATGTGGGAAAGGAATTGTAGTCTAAACTGTGATAAGCAAAGGAGAGGAAGGGGGAGTGAGGATAGGAGGGGGATCTGGAGGCGTTTGGCGGGAAACTTCAGTTCTCTCTTTGGCTTTGTACTGTATGGACTGAATAAACCGCAATTCCAGGATTTTGTTCTTGTGAGTGTGTGTTTCATTCTGAGATCCAGCGGGACCTGACAGAAATCCTCTCGTGACCTCTCCAGGGGTCCCGAGCCCCGGGTTGAGAAACACTGCCGTAGGCGACTCAAGGCAGTTAACAGGGTAAAATCCAATGCTTACAACAGGGGTCCACAAACTTTTTAAACAGAGGGCCAGGTCACAGTCCCTCAAACTGTTGGAGGGCCGGATTATAATTTTAAAAACACATAAATGAATTCCTTTGCGCACTGCACATGTCTTATTTGTAGTGCAAATAATGCTTAAAACAACACAATAATTAAAATGAAGAACAATTTTAACAAATATAAACTTATTAGTATTTTAATGGGAAGTGTGAGAAAAGATTGTTGTTGTTGTTGTTGTGTGCTTTCAAGTAGTTTCAGACTTAGGGTGACCCTGAGTGAGGGCTGGGTAAATGACCTTGGAGGGCTGTATCCGGCCCCTTGGCCTTAGTTTGAACAATTAACAAGCTTTCCTTAGGCGATCCCTTGTAGTCCAAGTAGGATTGTCTTACAAGATCGATGTTCTGGTGGGGGTCCGTAGGTGACTATGGAGCCCTATTCTTGATCTGCATCGTCTCCTGCAGTAGAGGGCATTGGTTTCCAGGTGGAAGGCGGTCACGGTCGGGGTTGGCTTGACATGCCTTCCTCTTGGCACATTTCTCTCTTTCACTCTCCACTCGTGCCTCCTCAAATTCTGCAGCACTGCTGGTCACAGCTGACCTCCAGCTGGAGCGCTCAAGGGCCAGGGCTTCCCAGTTCTCAGTGTCTATGCCACAGTTTTTAAAGTTGGCTTTGAGCCCATCTTTAAATCTCTTTTCCTGTCCACCAACATTCCGTTTTCCATTCTTGAGTTTGGGAATAGAACTGCTTTGGGAGACGGTGGTCGGGCATTCAGACACATGTGACCGTTCAGCATTATCTCCTGTGTGATTATTGTTGACGCATTAATAAGGATCTCTAATTGGCGCTTTGATGCTGACGTTGTCTTTGCTTCTTCTCCCCAGCAATGCTGGCTATTTGTATCGACCGCGCTGTCTTCTCAAGAGATTTTGCGGATTTCTGTGCCGAAGATCGCACGCTGATGGAATCATCCCCGGATTGCACGATCTTCTCCATAAGGCAGCATGACAGCTGAGGTGTGTCTTTTGGTGTTCACATTGCTTCTCGTATTAGCATCCTTGCAGAGTCTACATTTGTGGTTGCTTTGTCGACTTTTTCGAGTACACACTGATAGCTTTGATATGTCAGTGTTCGCATGTTGGCTGGCGTGCTGTTATCTTGGTTGAGTCCTAATTTAGGGCTGGCCAAATCAGCCCTCTCCTTCCATTCCTTTTTTCAGAGTTCCATTTGTGAGCAATAACATGATTTAAGATCTAGGGAAGTCATGCTCCCCATGCTCTATTCCGCTTTGGTTAGACCACACCTGGAATATTGTGTCCAATTCTGGGCACCACAATTCAAGAGAGATATTGACAAGCTGGAATGTGTCCAGAGGAGGGCGACTAAAATGATCAAGGGTCTGGAGAACAAGCCCTATGAGGAGCGGCTTAAGGTTCTGGGCATGTTTAGCCTGAAGAAGAGAAGGCTGAGAGGAGATATGATAGCTATGTATAAATATGTGAGAGGAAGCCACAGGGAGGAGGGAGCAAGCTTGTTTTCTGCTTCCTTGGAGACTAGGACGCAATGGAACAATGGCTTCAAACTACAAGAGAGGAGATTCCATCTGAACATGAGGAAGAACTTCCTGACTGTGAGAGCCGTTCAGCAGTGGAACTCTCTGCCCAGTTGGAGGCTCCTTCTTTGGAAGCTTTTAAACAGAGGCTGGATGGCCATCTGTCAGGGGTGATTTGAATGCAATATTCCTGCTTCTTGGCAGGGGGTTGGACTGGATGGCCCATGAGGTCTCTTCCAACTCTTTGATTCTATGATTCTATGATGATGATGATGATGATGATGATGATGATGATGATGATATTATAACGAAGCACACAAGATCTATATGCTGGATTTATATCACAAAATCACAAGTTGAATACTTTTGGAGGTTTTTAAGCAGAGCCTGGATGGTGATCTACCAAGAAGGCTTTGATTGTCCTTCAATTTCCCTACTGAGGTTGATATGGAGTTCCCAACCCTCCCAACAAGATTCCCGGGTTGGCATGGGGTTGCGAAGTACCTAGACCGTAGCCAGGCTTTGAAGCGTTGCTTGAAAACCAACATACGTTTTTAAACAGTGTTGTAACTGTGTGTAGTTTTTAGGCGCATCATGGTGTGGTTAGACCATGCGGTGATTGGCAAGGCTGGAAGGTCAGTACCTGGATGCGCCTGTGTACACCTATGGTGGGCTATAAGAGTCTCTTGGATTAACTGAATAAATGTTGTTGTTTGTGGTGAAGGCGCGGTGCATAGCCGGATAGAAGGTTCACGTCATTTCGCAAGACATACCACCTTGTCTCCTGTTGTTCATTTCGAAGCTGTAGTGATGTGAGCAAATGTATTGTTGATCATACGGCTTATCCTTTGCATGGAGGATCGTGGACTTCTCAACTTAACCAAGACAATTTAAACATCCAAGAAACGTAATTAAGTGGCAAAGGAGGAGATTTATGATCCACATACACCCTTCCCAAGACAGGCTTTGCAAACTATTAGACCCTCATTCTAATATACACCATCAAGGACCAAGACATAACTATCGGTTAAAACAACACTTTAAAAGAGGCTAAAGCATCTCCATGACCCAACGTCTACATCCGCAAGTGATTAGAGTCTGTTGTGGAAGAGGGTGGACAATGATGATTAGGGACGTTGTAGTACCTTTTTTATTCTACTATCTACACTTACTTTCCTGATACCCTATCTAAACATGACAAGAGACTAATACGAACAAGCACCGTGGAGAACATAAATGGCTGCAATAGAGAGCTTCCCATGGCCAACTCAACATTCTGGTGAGGTTTGGGAGGGAGACAGACTGGATGATGGGACTTACAGTACCATAACTCACTTTCTGAGACCACTGCGACCCTCATCCAATGACTGATCAAGACCAAACTTGACACACAGAGCCCCCATGACCCATTCTACATCCAGGTGCTGTTTGGAGGAGGATGGACCATGCATGATGGCATTTGCAGTACCTTCACTAACTGAAAACTGATAAAGAACACCTTTCCCACACAATGCCTTTCTCTAATAACCCGGGCAGCACCTGTAGTATAGTATAGTATAATATAATATAATGTGTATACATATTACAATATGTATACACATTATATAGTATAATTATAGTATAATATAATATAATGTGTATACATATACTATTGAAAATATTATAATGTGATAAACTATAATGCTAATAATAATAATAATATGATATTATAATTAGATATTTTATATTACATGTAATATTACTAATAATATTACAGTATAATGATATAGTACAATATAGTAATATATAATACTAATATTGTGTTATGGTAATAATATAATGTATTGTATTTATATATTACTTGTAAGCAGCTCAGAGTCCCCTTCGGGGTGAGAAGGGCGGCATATGAATGTTGTAAATAAATAAATAATAATAAATAATTGTGCAACTGAAGAAAGGTGAAATATCGAAGGCTCTCAACCCAGTGGGACAACAGCTTCACGCCCTAAAGTCCTAAGCTTCAGAGCTCATTTCAAAACATCTCTGTAAGCATCACTAAACTGGTCTGGGCTCTCCGAGTTTCTCACATCACACAAGGCAAAACATGATGTGCCTTTGAATGGCCACTAACCTGTCCAGATCGTCCACCGGTGTCCCAGAACCTCCGAAGCCACAGTAGCATCCGTAATGATTGTACTGACTGAGTGGCTTGCTCTTGGGAATGGCGCATAGGATCATTGACCGGAACTGCCACAGAGCCCTTGGCACGGGGGAAGGCATGACTGTGCTAGCTGCGAAAGGGAAGTTTAGCAAGAAAAGCCCCTTAACAACAGGTTTTCTGCTCTGCCCACATAACCTTATTTTAGTATTATGAAGTATCAACCTAAAACATCAACTTCCAGGATTCCATTGCACTGAGACTAATTTTGCACTGTTTAATTAAACTGCTGTCAAACTGCATTATTCCACAGTGTAGATGCATCCATAATCAGTGCAAATTAAAAGTGAGAGGGGGCCAGGGGACAGTTCCAGCTTGTCTCCTGCATATGTCATCAGTTGGGGACCCCCTCCCCCAGCACCAACTGCTGCTCTGGGCAAGAATGAAGAGAGAGGGGGCCAGGGGACAGTTCCATCTTGTCTCCTGCATATGTCACAGTTGGGGACCCCTCCTCCCAGCACCAACTGCCTCTGGGGCAGAGTGAAGAGAGGGGGGGGGCAGGGACAGTTCCATCTTGTCTCTGCATATGTCAACTGATGACATATGCAGGAGACAAGATGGAACTGTCCCCTGGGCCCCTCTCTCTTCACTCTGGCCCAGAGCGGCAGTTGGTGCTGGGGGAGGGGTCCCCAACTGATGACATATGCAGGAGACAAGATGGAACTGTCCCCTGGCCCTCTCTCTCTTCACTCTGGGCCAGAGTGAAGAGAGAGGGGACCAGGGGACAGTTCCATCTTGTCTCTTGCATATGTCATCAGTTGGGGACCCTCCCCAGCACCAACTGCTGCTCTGGGCCAGAGTGAAGAGAGAGGGGGCCAGGGGACAGTTCCATCTTGTCTCCTGCATATATCATCAGTTGGGGACCCCTTCCCCCAGCACCAACTGCCGCTCTGGGGCAGAGTGAAAAGAGAGGTCAGGGGACAGTTCCATCTTGTCTCCTGCATATGTCATGAGTTGGGGACCCCTCGCCCCAGCACCAACTGCTGAAGAGAGAGAGGGCCAGGGGACAGTTCCATCTTGTCTCCTGCATATGTCATCAGTTGGGGACCCCCCCCCCCACCAACTGCTGCTCTGGGCCAGAGTGAAGAGAGAGGGGTCCAGGGGACAGTTCCACCTTGTCTCCTGCATATGTCATCAGTTGGGGACCCCTCCCCCAGCACCAACTGCCGCTCTGGGCCAGAGTGAAGAGAGAGGGGGCCAGGGGACAGTTCCATCTTGTCTCCTGCATATGTCATCAGTCAGGGACCCCTCCCCCCAGCACCTGCCGTTCTGGGCCAGAGTGAAGAGAGAGGGGGCCAGGGGACAGTTCCATCTTGTCTCCTGCATATGTCATCAGGGAGACCCCTCCCCCAGCACCAACTGCCGCTCTGGGCCAGAGTGAAGAGAGAGGGGGCCAGGGGACAGTTCCATCTTGTCTCGCTGACATATGTCTGATATGGATTTTTGTGGCACCTCCTTCCCCCAGCACCACTGCCACTCTGAGCAGAGTGGATGAGAGAGGGACAAGAATAAGCAACTGGGCAATCGAGGGGGACGTTTCCATCTCTTGTCTCCTGCATAATGTCCATCATTTGGGGGACGCTCCTCCCTTTCCACCCGCAACTGCTCTTAGATGCTATCTGGGTCGCAGAGATTGAAATCTAAGAGAGGGGGGCAGGAAACCTGTTCCAATCTTTTCTTTGTGCATACCTATGTCATCTTTGGGACTTCACTTCACACGTGTCTCGGGGTCCTGTGAGTGAAGAGGATCACAGGGGGCTCAGGGGATTGTTTCATCTTGTCTCCGGCTCAACATGTTCATACAGCTTTATGTGAGGACCCCTCTTCTGTCTCCTGCATATGTCATCAGTTGGGGACCCCTCCCAGCCACCAACTGCTGCTCTGGGCCAGAGTGAAGAGAGAGGGGGCCAGGGGACAGTTCCATCTTGTCTCCTGCATATGTCATCAGTTGGGGACCCCTCCCTCCAGCACCAACTGCTGCTCTGGGCCAGAGTGAAGAGAGAGGGGGCCAGGGGACAGTTCCATCTTGTCTCCTGCATATGACATCAGTTGGGGACCCCTCCCTCCAGCATCAACTGCCGCTCTGGGCCAGAGTGAAGAGAGAGGGGGCCAGGGACAGTTCCATCTTGTCTCCTGCATATGTCATCAGTTGGGGACCCCTCCCCACAGCACCAACTACGACTCTGGGCCAGAGTGAAGAGAGAGGGGGCCAGGGGACAGTTCCATCTTGTCTCCTGTGCTATGTTAAAAATGTAATGTAACAATTTTGTATTTACATATAATATTTATAATATTATAATGTAATACATGATAATATTACTAATAATAATTCAATATTATAATTATATATTTTATATTACTTGTAATATTACTAATAATATTACAATATAATGGTATAGTACAATATAGTAATATATAATACTGATATTGTACTATACTAGTAATATAATATTGGGACCAAATATAAAATGGGATCAAGGACCACTTGACCAGGGACTAGTTTGACCAGGGACCACTTGGACCAGGGACCACTTGACCAAGGGCTACTTGAACAGGGACCACTTGACCAGGGACCACTTGGACCAGGGACCACTTGACCAAGGGCTACTTGAACAGGGACCACTTGGACCAAGGACCACTTGACCAGGGACTAGTTTGACCAGGGACCATTTTGACTAGGGACCACTTGGACCAGGGACCACTTGACCAAGGGCTACTTGAACAGGGACCACTTGGACCAGGAACCACTTGACCAAGGGCTACTTGAACAGGGACCACTTGGACCAGGGACCACTTGACCAAGGGCTACTTGAACAGGGACCACTTGGACCAGGGACCACTTGACCAAGGACTACTTGAACAGGGACCACTTGGACCAGGGACCACTTGACCAAGGGCTACTTGAACAGGGACCACTTGGACCAGGGACCACTTGACCAAGGGCTACTTGAACAGGGACCACTTGGACCAGGGACCACTTGGACCAGGGACCACTTGACCAAGGGCTACTTGAACAGGGACCACTTGGACCCAAGGACTACTTGAACAGGGACCACGTGGACCAGGGACCACTTGACCAAGGACTACTTGAACAGGGACCACTTGGACCAGGGACCACTTGACCAAGGACTACTTGAACAGGGACCACTTGGACCAGGGACCACTTGACCAAGGGCTACTTGAACAGGGACCACTTGGACCAGGGACCACTTGACCAAGGACTACTTGAACAGGGACCACTTGGACCAGGGACCACTTGACCAAGGGCTACTTGAACAGGGACCACTTTGACCAAGGACCACTTGACCAGGGACTAGTTTGACCAGGGACCATTTTGACTAAGGACCACTTGGACCAGGAACTACTTGACCAAGGACTACTTGAACAGGGACCACTTGACCAGGGACCACTTGGACCAGGGACCACTCTCCAACATATATCTTGTAAGCCACTCTGAGTCAGCTTTGGGGTGAGAAGGGAAGCATATAAATGTCGCAAATAAAATAAATAAATACATAAATAAAAGTGGAGGGTATACTTACTTGCACCGACCAGAACCAAGAGGAGGAGGAACATCTTCCAAGATGAATTTTTAAGGCAAGCCTTCCTTTATATATTCCTGGCCTTGTTTCCCAATTTAGATGTACCACGCAGAGACCAAAGTAAATGGTGGCAATTTATAACTCACAAACAATCACACAGAAACACACTAACATCTTCAGAATGCCATGGAGTTGGGCACTCTCCTGGGAAAGCTCATTATATATATCTTTGCGCTTGGACATGTGCTCAAGTCAACAGAGAGTCTGTCCTGCATCAAGGTCAACGCAGCTTAGTGAAGGGAGGGAGCCGCTCTAGATGTATACCAGAGCAAATGGAAATAAGATAGGAACCATATATCATGATCCAGCCTTGGAACCCTTCAACATTTCAGGTCCAGAAGGAGTTGTAGAATACATTTGGCCAATAATAGATTCTGGGTTAATGTTTAAAGATCAGGGAGCATTTAGGGTCAGAGTTCAGCAGGTTCAAATGCAAGACAGAAATACAGAACATGTGGTGGAAAGTATGGGAGGGTTCCCATAGAATCAGATAGGGTCACCTTTCACACTACAGTATCGCCCTTTATCCACAGGCTCAATGTCCACAATTTCGTGAACCCACACTGCAAAATGTAGGATTTGCTAACATCTGTAGTTTCACGTATCCACGGAGGGTCTTGGGACACATTCCCCATGGACACAGGTGTCGTTCTTACATAATTATAACCATGGACACTTTCAAACGACAAAATTGTAGCAGTCTGATTCCATTTTAACAACAATGGTTGATTCCTACGGCATCCTGAGACTGGTAGTACTAGAGTATTTGGGAAGAGAATTCTAAACGCTTTTTCTAAACTGCAAATCCCAGGATTCTACTGGATGAAAGCATACTAGAGAAAGGGAAATCCTAGTGCTGTTATTGCACTATGTGCCAGTGCAGAATAAACTCATAAAAGATTACATTATCTGCTTTGATGATCAGAATTATAGGCAGTGTAGATCCAGCCTCTGCCTCCATGAAGGAAACACCATCATAGGGTTGCTTTAGAGCAGTGGTTCCCAACCTTTTTTTGACCAGAGACCACTTGACCAGCAACCACTTTGACCAAGGACCACTTTGACCTGGGACCATTTGACCAAGGACTACTTGAAGACGGACCACTTGACCAGGGACCACTTAGTCCATGAACCACTTGACCAGGGACCACTTGACCAAGGACCACTTGAAGAGGGACCACTTTGAGTAGGGTCCACTTTGACCAAGGACCACTTGAACAGGGACCACTTTGACCTGGGACCACTTTGACCTGGGACCACTTGACCACTTGAAGAGGGACCACTTGAGGAGGAACCACTTTGAGTAGGGACCACTTTGACCAAGGACCACTTGAACAGGGACCACTTTGACCTGAAACCATTTGACCAGGGACCACTTTGACCATGAACCACTTGACCATGAACCACTTGCCCAGGGACCACTTAGACAGGGACCATTTTGACCTGGGGCCACTTGAACAGGGACTACTTGAAGATGGACCACTTGAAGAGGACCACTTTGAGTAGGGACCACTTTGACCAAGGACCACTTGAACAGGGACCACTTTAACCTGGGACCACTTGAACAGGGACTACTTGAAGAGGGACCACTTTGACCTGGGACCACTTTGACCTGGGACCACTTGACCAAGGACTACTTGAAGAGGCACCACTTGAGGAGGAACCACTTTGAGCAGGGACCACTTGACCAGGGACCACTTGACCAAGGACCACTTGAACAGGGACCACTTTGACCTGGGACCACTTGAAGAGGGACTACTTGAAGAGGGACCACTTTGAGTAGGGACCACTTGACCAGTAACCACTTGACCAAGGTCCACTTGAACAGGGACTACTTTGACCAGGGACTGCTTGAACAGGAACCACTTGGACCTGGGACCACTTGAACAGGGACCATTTGACCAGGGACCACTTTGACCCAGGACCACTTGAACAGGGACCACTTGAACAGGAACCACTTTGACCCAGGACCACTTGAACAGGGACCACTTGAAGAGGAACCACTTGAACAGGGACCACTCTCCAACATTAGTACCAAAAGGATTACGAATCGATTTTTGGTCAACTTTCAATTTGGTTTGGTTATTTGGGGTGCTGATTCAGAAAACTACACTGAATAGACCACATCAGCTCTAGTTTGTGATACGAAACATATGCCATCCAGTAGTCACCATCTACTCACCCACAGAAAACCATATTTAATAATCTAGAGCTGATATAGTAGTAGTAATCTTTCGTGGGTAGTCAGACTCTCCCCTCCTGACATTTCCATTGCCTCGGCGCTATAAGAGGGTTTTGTGAGACCAGTCACTCTTGTTGCCGCGTGGTTTTGAGGCAACAGTGTAGTAATGGTGAGGCCGCGGACCATATTTTCATTCTTGTGGACCACTGGTGGTCCACAGACCACAGGTTGGGAATCACTGCGTTAGAGTCACTAGAAGTCAGAAATGACTTGAAGGCATACAACACCAATCCCAAAAATAAATCCATGTTCCCAAACCTTATAGATAGCACCCTAAGATTACATATAACCTCATGGGGAATAAGTTACATATATTTGCTCTTTTGGGTCGTTGTGGAAGTAAAAACATAAAAGGACTCCAAGCTTGGGTTTCCAAAGGTGTTTCTGAAGAACTTCAAGAGGAACTTCGGTTGGGTGAACTTCTGTTGGGTGAACAACCAGCTGTGCAAATATAGAGATGGATAAGACCAACTCACCTGCCAGAACTTACCAACATATTGATAAGCATAGGACATAATATGCAGAACCCAAGGTTGCTTTGAGGATGGCTGGGACTGCCAACCATCCCCTGAAATGATGCAGTTCAACCAAAATATATTTCCAAGAGTCATCTCTACATCCATGGAAAATCAATCCAGATTTAAATGGGGCTCCTAATATCCGGCACAAAGGAGGGGTCCTGGTGTTACATGAGCCATTCATGGATGCTTTTGTGGTCTTTGTGGTCTCTAAATTCACTCTTTTCACACAAGAAAAGAGAAAGATTAAAATCAATAAAGCCAAACTTATGAGTTACCTCTACAAGACTCCTAAAAACACTTATCAAAGGAGGTCATTGTCGGGATATAATCTAGAGCAGTGGTTCTCAAAGTGTGCTCCGTGGAGCCCTGGGAGCTCCATGAAGCATATTGAGGGGCTCTGCGGTTCCCTTCTCCTCTCCTCAAGCTTTCCCTCCTCTGGTTCCTGGAGTTTCTGCTATTATTATTAGGATTATTATTATTAGATACATATCAAGATTAATTCATAGCAAACAAGGTCACTCTTCTGGACAGATGGTCATTCTGTCAGCGCGGATTGTGTTTAAGTGCAGGCCAAGGTCTTTAGGCACTGCACCCAGTGTGCTGTTCACCATTGGGACCACCTTGACTAGCTTGTGCCAGAGTCTTTGCAGTTTGATCTTTAAATCCTCATATCATGTCAGCTCCTCCTCCTCCTCCTCCTCCTCCTCCTCCTCCTCCTCCTCCTCCTCCTCCTCTTCTTCTTCTTCTTCTTCTTCTTCTTCTTCTTCTTCTTCTTCTTCTTCTTCTTCTTCTTCTTCTTCTTCTTCTTCTTCCTAGCCATCCCCTGCCACGCGTTGCTGTGGCCCAGTCTGTGTTTATGTGTTTTCTGTGTGTATATATGTGTATACATGTGTGTATATTTGTATATATTTATGTTTGCATGTGTGTGTGTGGTTTTGTGCATGCCTTGTAAAGTATTTTTTGGTTTTTTTAAGTCCCTTATGCTGTGTTTTTCAGTGTTTTTATGAGTGATGGTCACTTGTTGGTCTGATAAGTGTCTTGTGTCCAAATTTGGTGTCAATTTGTCCAGTGGTTTTTGAGTTCTGTTAATCATAGAATCATAGAATCAAAGAGTTGGAAGAGACCTCATGGGCCATCCAGTCCAACCCCCTGCCAAGAAGCAGGAAGGTTGCACTCAAATCACCCCTGACAGATGGCCATCCAGCCTCTGTTTAAAAGCTTCCAAAGAAGGAGCCTCCACCACACTCCAGGGCAGAGAGTTCCACTGCTGAACAGCTCTCACAGTCAGGAAGTTCTTCCTCATGTTCAGATGGAATCTCCTTTCTTGTAGTTTGAAGCCATTGTTGCGTCCTAGTCTCCAAGGAAGCAGAAAACAAGCTTGCTCCCTTCTCCCTGTGGCTTCCTCTCACATATTTATACATGGCTATCATATCTCCTCTCAGCCTTCTCTTCTTCAGGCTAAACCTGCCCAGCTCCTTAAGCCGCTCCTCATAGGGCTTGTTCTCCAGACCCTTGATCATTTTAGTCGCCCTCCTCTGGACACATTCCAGCTTGTCAATATCTCTCTTCAATTGTGGTGCCCAGAATTGGACACAATATTCCAGATGTGGTGTAACCAAAGCAGAATAGAGGGGTAGCATGACTTCCCTAGATCTAGACACTATGCTCCTATTGATGCAGGCCAAAATCCCATTGGCTTTTTTTGCCACCACATCACATTGTTGGCTCATGTTTAACTTGTTGTCCACGAGGACTCCAAGATCTTTTTCACACGTACTGCTCTCGAGCCAGGTCTCCACCCCCCATTCTGTATCTTTGCATTTTGTTTTTTCTGCCTAAGTGGAGTATCTTGCATTTGTCACTGTTGAACTTCATTTTGTTAGTTTTGGCCCATCTCTCTAATCTGTCAAGATCGTTTTGAATCCTGCTCCTGTCCTCTGGAGTATTGGCTATCCTTCCCAATTTGGTGATCCTGCCTTCTAGCCCTTCATCTAAGTCATTAATAAAGATGTTGAACAGGACCCACAAATGAACATTACATTTTTATTTATATAGACTAGCTGTACCCGCCACACGTTGCTGTGGCCAACCTTCCTTCTTTCTCTCCTTCTTTCCCTCCTTCCTTCACTCCCTCTTTCCTTCCTTCCTGTCTTTCCTTCTCTTTCTTCCTTCCTTCTCTATCACTTTCCTTCCTTTCCCCTTTCTCTTTCTCTTCTGCTGTCTCTCTTTTATTCCTTCTCTTTCTTTTCCTCCCTCTTTCTCTACATCTTCCCCCCCTTTCCTTCCTTCTTTCCCTTTTTTCTTTCCTTCTCTAACATTCCTTCCTTCCCCCTTTTTCTTTCCCTCTCTCTTTCTCTCCTTCCTTCCTTCTCCCTTTCCTTCTTTCTTTCCTTCCCTCTTTCTTTTCTCCCCTTCCCTCCCTCTTTCTTCCCTTTTTTGTGTATTGTCATTTAGCTTTTCGTCATTTAGCTTCTTGGGGCTTTTTAAGCCCCTTCTACTGTGTTTTTCA